TGTGATGTTTGTTGACAGCTACCCACTGACTTCCTCAGGAAAGGTAATAACTTTGTTCCAACTGTAAGATATCTGACATACCTGCATATATTATGTTGTTGATTTTTTTTTCTAGATCAAGAAGAACATATTAAAGGAGGAAATGGAGAAGGAATTAGGTCTTTAACTTTTTAAATCTTAGAAATTCCCATCAAGGTTCAAGTCTTAAGACCCACCCTCTTCACTATCTACATAAATCGTAGGTCAGATCATTCCTGATTCATCCTTACATTTCTATGCCAATCACACAGTTGTTTACTGTCGAGCTACAACAGTTGCTAAAGTTTTCCAGCTTTTACAGTCTGCGTTCTGCATCATCCAGTCAGATTTGTTCCATCTTAAACTGGTGCTAAATGCTGATAAAACTAAAGGGATGTTGTTTTCAAACAGGAAGTCAGTCTCAGCAGTCCTTCCTTTTATTTTATCTTCAAATGGTGGTCCTAATGAGTTTGTCGATTCTTACAAATACTGGGTATCTTGGCCAATTCGCATCTCTCTTATAAGCCCTTTGCTGAAAACTTGGTAAAGAATCTGAAAATAAAATTTGGTTTCTTTTTTTAGAAATAGATCTTTAACTCTGAACGCTAGGAAATGCCTTGTAACTACTTTCCTCCCATCCTCTGTGACACTATTTACATGAATGCTCCTGCAAGCACCTTACAGATGCTGGATGCTGTCCATCATGGTGCACTAAGATTCATAACTGGCTGTAACTACCGTACCCATCACTGCACCCTGTACTCATTGGTCAATTGGTCATTAACTTTCCGCAGACTCTCTCATTGATGCATTTTCATTTTTAAATCACTTCTTGGTCTGTTGCCTTCATGCATCTCCTACATGTCACTCTGTGAGTGCAGCTACAGCGTGCGCTCTCAGGACATTTTTACATGCAGTGTTCCCTCACAGTGGACCGAACTTGACAAAGTCCTTCTCTTACTTCACTCCTGTATCCTGTTACATCTTGCAAAAAGATCTGTACTTGTCGACTTTGACCTCTCTAATGGATTTTAAACAACAGTTAAGTTCATGGCAAAAACCAACACAGAAATTTGCCTGTTTTTAGTATTTTACATCACTTGTAGCTGTTTTTGTTTATTCGTTTATATAATTTCTTGTATTTACTTTCCATTTTATATGCTTTTATATGATTGTCTGTACCTCATCAGTGTTCTTTGTTTAAAACAGGTCTTTCTTGTAAATTGAGTCCTTGTGACTCAATGAGACTAACCTGTACAAATAAAAGTTGAATGAATGAAGAAGCTTTTTGGGAACTCTTAAAATTGCATTTAGACTGAACCAGGGATTTGCAATGAAATATTTTGTACTGGTAATGTTTTAATAGAGTATATTTTTAACTGGTTTGGGAAATGATTAAGTCACCCACTTTGACATCTATTCTGTTTTTATTTTAGATAAGGTTAAATTATTCTGGGAATCAGCAGAAATTGATGGGAATAAACTAGAGAAAATTAAAATATTAAAGTTTGGCCCTTAAGGCTATATATTTTTGAATCCAAAGCACAAAACCATTGACTTCACATTTGAATCTGGATTACATAAAGTGAAACGAACTTTAATGATACTGTATTAGGTAAAGATATTTGATGCATAGTAACACAGAATTGTGACCTCTGCATTGTGTGAATAAAGATTTTTAAATTCTGACTCATGTTTCTACAAGTTCAGTTCAGTTGTTTTATATAGCGACAAGTCACAACAGACGTCGTCTCAGGGCATTGAACAGAAACATTCAGACGTTTCTTTCACTATTCTCAAAATTTATGTATGTTTTCACATAAAATGTTCAAGTAAAAATACAAGACGATAAATTTAAAAAGGGCTAATTAGGGATAATTGTTTATGGATTTGTTGGAGTGTGTCTTGGATTAATTCAGTTTTCCCATTTGGAATATTTACAAAGTGTTCTAGCCTAATTTTCCATTGTAAGTTTCCAGAAATGTTAAAATCCTTTGCAACCCTTCATTTATAAGCCATTTTAGAGCAAATAGATGCAAAAACAAACTAAACACCGTTGCCTGCACTATTGTACTTTGATTTTTTTCAATGTGTTGCCATTTTGAAAAGCTTTTAACAAAAGCAACCACAAACCATTGATAAGATCCTAATTGTTAATAAAAGCTTTAGAAATCAACATGCCTTTGTGCTTTCCAAAGCACTTAACTCTTTATAATAATTGAAATACAAACAGCACCATGTTAATCTTTATTTACTTTTACCAATTTCTGACAATTTAACATATTACAATGCTTGTAAACATTGTGCGACAGTAAAACCTATTGAAACACATGCCATACAGAATCTGAAATAAATAGGACTTTATTGCTAAGTGGTAATATATACAGTGAGTTCAGCAAAATTTACTATTTTTATTTCTACTGTACAGACTGGCTGTAGAGCTCAGTTCAGTAATACACTCCTATGCCCAAAGAGATATCTTATAAATACTGTACTAACAATATTAACAGTTACTTAACATTTGAATTATAACTCATGAAAAAAAAAAAGTGTCGAATTGGGGGTGGGGAGAGGGGGGGCTTCTTAGAGCTGCAAACACTGCAGTAAAACAAAACCAATATCAAAAGCTGCCTGAAAATAAAAATCTTCAAAACAAACAAAAAAAAAAGTGCTTTACTGCAAGAAAGCTGCACCAAACCATACATTTTGAATTCTCTGGCAAAAATTATAGTATATATATAAAAAAAAAAAAAAAAAAAAAAACTTTTGTTCTTTTGCTTTGAGTGTCCTTCAATAGAGCTAAACCTAGGGCTTAAATTACATCCTCAACTTATAACACGTTGGAGGTATTCCAGCAAGCTTGAAAGAAAACACCATTAATATATATCGTACATAAAATGACAGTGACGGTCGATACACACAAAGGAATACTCAGGTTTAGCAAAAGCTTGTGAGGAGCAGCTTATAAGGATAGTTCACTTCAGACCTGTTGAAGTGGGATTCTGTGGAACTGTTATGAACAATGATCTTATCTGTTGTAGGTGGTTTTTAGACGACCTCTGTTCAGAGGAATAACTTCATTCTGAGCAGACAAGATAGCAGCTAATCTAAGTGAGCTAAGATCAAAGCCTTTAAACCAACATCAGCCTGTACAAACAGCAGAACGGCTAGCTGCAGCCTGGGACACCTCTGGCAGGAATATCATTGTTTCTACTGGAACAACAACGTCATGCAAAACTTTTAACGGAGTAAAGATTTATGAAATAGAATTTTCATAAATCTGCAAAGTAATGTTGATCAGAAATTATTCAGGATAGCACCAATCCACTTCAATCTTGGCCTCGCTTGGATTAGCTGTTAGTTTAATGATCCACGCAGAATTAAACTTTATTTCTCTAAACTGAGCTTGTTCAAAGAGCCTTCTACAACTGATAAGATTGTTGTTTGCAACCTCGCCACAGAGCCCACGTGGAAAGAATCTTAACCATTTCTTCAGGAACAGAATTAACCGGGTGAGATTTCCCCTAGAGGATTTCAGTCATTAACAAAAAAAAACAAGGCAGACTGCACATCAGCTACATGGCTTTGAACGATCAACATTCACTTCGGTCATTCTTATCAGTTTGGAGTCCACTCACACTTCATCAATCACACGTTGCACATGCACACATGAGAGGGAGGGGGGGGGGGGAAGGAAAATTGCATTTTAAACCACGGCAAGATAAATTAGTTAATATGAACATGTTCATTTTCAAATATACATTCTAAACAGAAAAGTTTAAATGTGCAATTTCATAGAAAACAAGGTTTGAATGAAGCTGTGGTCTTCTGAGGCCCTTTAGTCAAAAAGATAGTTCTGCTGAGGTGTGGAACCGCTACAGTCAACACTGAGGCTGACTGACAGGGAGCACTGCATCGTAAAGATGGTCAAACAAGCACAGCACAGATTTAGGCACATGCAAGAAGTGCTAGGAACATGTGCACAACCGGTCGTGCACCCACACACAGACGCTCTGAGAGCTGTGACCTGGAGTCAAGTCCACTGTTAGGTCAGGCCTCTCTCGCACCCATCAAACATGCACTCCCACACAAGTGAACATTCAGTCTTCTTTCCTGCCACTCGCGCTCGCACACAAACACACCGCAGCCGAAATGTCCTTTCTGTTGCCACACTTGACTGGATAGACGGATGTTTCAGCAGAGGTTGGTGTCGCCTGTGGATTCCTCATACACTTAAAGGCAACATTCCTGTGTGAGTTATGACTCTGGATGAGGCCATGGAGGTCAGGGAGCTGGGGTCCAGTCCATTTACAGTGCTGCAGGTGAAACACGTTTATGAGATGCAGTGCAAACAGAATACGATTATTATTTTATCACGGGTTAAAAGTTGCTAACAGACTTACGTTTTGTCAAAGTAAGTGGTGTGTAGAGTGTGTGAGAACTTGGTGGCGTTGCCGTTGATGAGTGTGCCCTTGTCTGTGGAGTAATTCTTTCTTGCTGCCTGATCTTTGGCCATGTTTCTACAAGCAGCAAGTTTGGACTCCAAAGCCTGGTAACAAAACAGAAAATGGACCCATTAGCACAAACAGAAACATTTTCCTTTGAGGTCATCAGCATTCAGTGCACCGATTTAAAATTAAAAGAGTAAACACTGAGCATCTCCATATGAACACGCATAAGAAATAGGTTAAAACTTACCCCGACTTTTCTCAGAAGGTCTCCAACTATATTCAGAGCTGACATTCTAGCAGAAGGAGTGAGGGCAGACCCACCACCGCCATTGGCCAATGCTAGAACAAATGCATTCAAATAGATGAGCATGTTTATATTGTTTTATTTATACGTGTAAAAATAGGAATGGGATTAACCTGTACCTTTTGAAGTACCAAAAGAATGCTCTAAACTCTTTCCTACAGGTGTGGCAGGAAGGGACAAAGAGGCCTGTACTGCAGAATCCATCTTGTCGATGTCTAAAGTGGGTGAGCTGGGTGCTGACATCCTGTCGCTGTTTCTTTCTCTTACTGCCAGCTCCTGCCTCAGATCTACAAAAACAAACAAACAAACAAACAAAAAAAACATATAAGTCACACATTTTTGCATAAATTTGCACATCCTGCAATTTATACACTGAAGTGTAATGAGTTTTTTTTCTCCCATATTTATAACCAATTTTTGGCTGAGATCTGACAATTTCATTCATTCTGGCATGGAAAATATTGAACACTACTATTTTCAGCCACTAGTGGGCGCTCGAGCAATATGACAAGCCACATGTCTCATTAATAGGCAAAAGTGGCTATTAATGAGACACTTTGCTTTCCATATAGGCCACCTTCGTCTCGCTCTGGACCTCCTGGAGCAAAAGTCAAATCAGCTGCATTTCGCCGCGCTGCCCAGGTGAAATGCAGCTGATTAACCATTAAAGTACACGTATTAAGGAAAAGTTAAACAGACACACCTTTACTATAATGTCAAGCAAACAAATTTGTTTTTAAATGTTAATCTTGTTAAATTTGTGTTAAAGTCCTTCTGTGCACGCTCCCGCGGCCGCCATTTAACAATAATAATGTTATGTATTGTCATTGTATGTTCCCAATTCTGATACAATGGTGAAATTGGATCTCTGCATTTAACCCAACCACCACCAGGTGGCGCAGCTAGCAGCCAATTGATTTTTGGCACAACACCGGCCCATGTTTCCAGATGGTCAGCAGTGACGCATAATAGATGCGACTTATACGGCGGTGCAATGTGTACGGCGGAAAGTACGGTAAAACTAAGCCACCTCCAAAATCCCACACACGATGCTTACAAAAAGCAGAATGGAGTCTTCTTTACCTCGTGCTTCATCTTTCAGCCTCTGCACAGACACGAGGAGAGACTCCTTCTCATCCAACTCGCTTTCAAGAAAGGCATTTCTCTCAATGGCCTGGTTTAAACGGCTCTCAAAGTCCTCAAGAGACACTATCATTGCCCTAAAAATACAGAAGATATTTTTTAACACAGCAGCAGGTGCACATGTAGGTGACCATTTGCAAAATTCTGAATTTGCTCAAGTTATAAATCATTTCATTCTGACCTCTTGGCTCTTTCCAAGTCGTCGTTGGCTTGTTCAAGTTCTCGCACATATTTGTATAGCTGCTCCTTGATGCTGCGTGTCTGACTCAAATCATCCTCCAAAACAGAAATTTGTTTGTAACTCTGGGCATACTGCTGCTCCAGTTTCTCCTGATAAAAATAAAAAATAAAAGTGAAAAAGGCCCAAGGGTTAGCCATCATAGAAAAACAAGTACAAGAACAGCCTCAAAAGATAACTTGTACATTTGGAGCAGTAGAGAAAATTGGGGGAATCACAAGACAGTGAAAATGTTCATTATTTGATTTTCAAAGGGCCTCTTTCATCCCAAGAGAGGCACAATGGCTCTTTTTCCTGAGCTTATAATTAATGACATTGATGCCTCTCTGTACAATAGTCCTGATGCACAACATCATTATGGTTTCTCTGGTTCGTTCCCTAATAATTTCCAGTGTTATGTTCAGCACAGAACCTCAAATGTTGAGTTATGTGAAGAAAAGAAAACGACAATGACCAGATAGATATCTTCAATGTATACATACGAAATGATCCGGGAAAGTGTTCAAGTCTGCCGTGATTAAAAACTGAACTCATCCTTTCCATTTTCTTCCAATTTATCCCGACATCCAATTAAAGAGTTCTGCTGGATTAACTAAGAACATGCCTCATTAAAACCGCCTACACAAAAGAGATGCTGGCTCTAACGAAGGTCAGATAATCTCATGAGTAAGAACTAATAACTTTTACCGCATACTCAACCACAGACAATAAGAAAACAAGCGAAGTCTGCAGGTTACCTTGAGGATGGACACCTCGTTCTTCACTTTCTCGTTTTCACTTTGTAAATCTCGAAGTCGATGTTCAGCCTGGCTGAGCTGTGCCTCTAACTCAGCCTCCAGTTCTCGGCTCCCCTCCTGGAACTCCTGCAGTTCTTCTTGAGCATCATGAAAACTATACAATAGGAAAAAAAAAATATATATATATGATTTTTTTTTCCACCCAACATTAGAAACCTTCAACTTCATCTATGCAGTTTTGTGAGCATCAGTTCTAGAAACCTGCCAGACTTTTATTCTGGAAAATAAACCAAGCTCAGAAACGTTCCTATAGCAGTTTATAACTTTCAGCTCAGTATTGTTGAGCTTTGTATTCTAAATATAAAGCTCAGAGGAGACCAGTGAACTGTGAGGACAGCAGTGTCAGATTAGATCAGAGAACGGAGACAAAGACACGTGTCTTGAGTCGTGGAGTGTATTCGATATCAAGAGAAATGTGAAAAAGGCAACAATAAAGCATGTATACACACACTGCTCAGGGCTGACAGACTAAAAACACTATTTGTAACAATATTCTTGTGCAAAAACTTATTTTGGTAAATATTTCAGGCTAAAAAAGAAAAGAAGGGAAAAGTCTCATGTTATAGTTTTTTTTGTTTGTTTTGCTCTACAGATGACAGTGCCCTGCACTGATCTGGAGTCAGCTGACTCATGCAGGCATAATTGCTTCTCAGTGGTTCTACAGAGCACTGGAATCCATGAATCAGTTGTTGTGCGGGGGTCGCTCCACACATACCAGTCACACAGGCTGCTTCATCAGCACGGTGGGCTCCAGGACCCCCTAATAACAGTCAGACAATTTAAATGAAACTGTAACAACTAACAGCATGAGGACAGGGAGCAAATGTAGATATTAAAGTACATTTTATACAAACTGATAATTAAAAAAAATCATAATAAAAAGGGAGAAAATAGTTTAAAACAGGTAAATTATTATTACTGCATGCTCATGCTGCCATCTTTCCAAGTTCGAAGAACACGTGTTAAAATCATGCGCTAGAGCCATCCTGAACAATCAATTTGGAGTTTGGTTTTTTCAATGGGATGAAGATTTTCCATGCATGTACCCACTGCAGGAATTTCCCAGAAAAACCACCAGGTCTTTAAAAAAAAAAAAAGTTCAATATTGGACTTTAACTGGACGCAGCAGGCCTCGGTTCCACAAACAGAACAAATGTGAAACGATTGGAACAGCGTGCCGTCTACAGCTGAACCGCTGTGGTTTCTGGTAAAATAAAATAAAAAAGTCTAAGCCGTTTCATTTCTTCCTGAGCAAGTCAGCAGGTTTGTGGTTTCCCATTTTATAAACCAGGTCTGATCATTTGCCTTTTACAGACTAAAATCTGTTTTTTGTGCTGGAACCTTCACAGATACTAATCCCCAAGCATTTTCCAACAGGTTTCTTTTTTTTTTTTTTTTATGTCAGTGAAGGGGAATTGTTACTGCAAGAAACTACAAAATAAATCATGACAGTTCTGTAATACACTCTAAAAACAAGCTTATTAGACAAACACTGTTTTTAAATGCATTGAACATAGCAAAATAATTGGTGAAAAGTCACACGTAATATAATGTTACAGCTGACTGAAACAAGATGCTAAACATTAACATTTGAAATGATGCAACATTGCTGAACTGACTAAATAAAATCAGTATTGTCATACAAATACATAACGTGCCTACCTTTTCTTATATTTAAGAGCTTGCGACTTCCAATAATCAACCTCTTCATCTTTTGATGAAAATTTAGGAATCATCTCTGTGTCCATGTCAGGGCACCCTGAGAATAAAAATAATAAAAATTAAACACTTGCACTGGCAAACTTCCTCAGTGTGTGACTTGTTGGCGACTCAGGAAAGTTTTTGCCGTTTCGGTCCTTTAGGCATGTAGAAGCAGGCACGGCGTGTTCCCTTATCTTAAAACATCCAATGAAAGCAGATATCAGAATATGTCACATTCCTAACTGCAGACAAAAAGATCTGAAGGTGAAGGCAAAACCATCTGCTCATCCAAATTCGTATTTAACAATTAACAACTTAACCGTGTCTAGATTTCCTTTTAAATCTTCCAAAATTCATTCACGTAACTCTCTGTGACCACAGTGGAAAGCCTTTCAAGTTTTCTATTGCCAACGAAAAGATAACACCGCTCAGCTCTTGGGATGTTGGTACAACAACTACAGACGACAATCTAGCCAAACGAAATGTAGTTGATGCCAAACAGATCAAAGCGGTCTCCCGCAGCCTAGATGTGAAATTTTAATAACGTACTTAAGGTTTTTGATTTGAACTCAGTTCTGCTTGGAGAAATAGCACCATGACAGACAGTTGCACTTCTTTTTAGTTGAGCTTTCAACCTCTTCCTCAGTCCAAGCTCTTCATAAAGCGTGTCCATGTGTGTTTCTATGTGAATGAGTGGCGGTACTGGGAAGAGGTTACAGCTGCTGTAGCTAAAATAATTTTACAATCCCAACTTGAGGTTACAGGAATGTTATACTGATATGTCCACCACTCAGAGGTCATAACAGAAAAACTCTCTGCTGAAATTATAGTTAAAATAAATAAGGGGAATTTGGGGGGATTTTTTTCTAAACTGCAAAAAATAATACAAATCTGGAGTTTTTACCGAGAGTAAGTAACAAATGTGATTTGAGACAAAGAGGATGTATTTTCCTTCCTAAGCAAGGAATGGTCTCCACACAGAGGGACAGCAACTTTGAGGAAAGACCACTCGCTCTTCCGTTGGAACATTCCTCTGAGATGGCCTCATCAACAGCCTACTGACTACACAACCCTCACGTGTTAGTATGCTGCTCCTGAAATCAAAACAGCGGGAAATCAGAGGCTTGCCAAAGCTGAAACGAGTTGGGTCTGGGAACGTACCAAAATATCTACACAGAGTCAAAATTAAAGCAATAGCAATGAGTCTTCACAAAACTAACACTTGTATGCAGAACAGACGGGGGCAGGCAGGCGCACAGTGCAGGTAAACAATTACATAATATGGAGAGAGGTTAAGTCTTGCCACGTAACAGGTCAGGAGAAGACACTCAGCCTGAACACATGACATTTTAGTATCCTCTGGAGTTACAATACACACGAGGAAGGAGCAAACAAAGACGAGCTATCTGGAAATACCAGACAGGGAAAGTGTAAAGAAAACTGCTGTTCCCCGACATTCTTGAATCAAGGTTCAAGGTTCTTTATCGTCATTGGCATCGCATGTGGTACATGAGGTGGAACAAAATTGTGTACTCAGATTATGTACAGTTATGTACTCTGACTCTTACATGATCTGATGCAGATGATGATGTGATTGTTAATAATTTCAGTAACGCAGCTATTGTGGTCACATGTGGTTCAAGGGGGTGGAGGATTACACAAATTCTTCTGCCATTAGATCTTTACGGACTTTCATTAGTTTGCTCCACACAGGACAACATTCAGCCCTGCAGGTTGAATTTACAGGGTGTGGTGGTGCACTTCCCTTCAGAACTGGGTGCATATTTTAGTCCCTTGGGTTATTTGGGTCAGCCCACAGGGCTTTTTTTTTTTTTTTTTTTCCAAAACAGTCATGGAACAACAGTAGGAGACGTTTGGTGTAAAAGAAGAGAACAAATATTCATCTCAAATTGATCAAAACGACTTGGTCCCATTGGAAATAGTTTTAGCTGTAGCCATGTAGCTAGTTTTATCATGCCGACTGACACGTTAGAATAAATAGAGCTAAACAGGAGATGACTTCACCAATCTGTGACCTGCTTTAAAACGTTACAATACACTGGACTGCTACACACATTTTGAAAGTGAATAATGTGTTAAAGAGACAAACCGAAGCCCATAACTATCGATGTTTCGCCCAAACATATTAGCATTTTTAAACGTCCACAAGAGCCGTCACCGAACAAGACAGATACCGCGTTAAAAAAAAAAAAAAAACAATAAAAAGCTGAATATTTAAAAACATTTAAGTTCTTACCTGCTCACATATCAAACCGGTGTCTCGTCCTTCGTGCCAGTAATAAGTCGTCTAGCCGACGAAGAACACTTTCCTCCGTCTCCGGGCCTCTGATGCTAAATGAGGTAACTGGGCTGTGTTTAGGAAATTGCCAACGCGTCTCCCGGAACCAACGTAAAGGCTCACAGGGGCGTACGTGCTGACGTCAGTCCTCGTGACGCAAGAACAGGGAGAAGGCGCACCTCCCAGACATTCTCAGAGGTGTGACGGGAAAATTTGCAGCGCGCTCAACTTTCTGGTCTTCAAGTTTCTGTGACTAATATAGCAACAACTTGTTTTTTGTAATTTTCCATAAATAGGACAACCAGGGACCTGTTTTTCCTCTAGAGATGACCTGTTAATAGTCTTTTCAGACATATTGGCCCTATTGTTAAAAAATAAATGTATAAATAGTGTCAATATACAAATAAATAAATAAAAATCTTGAAGCACAATACAAATAAATAAATAAATAAATAGACCAGTCCATGGTGTACCCCCGCCCCTCGCACTACATGGGCACCGGCGACCACGGTGACCCCAAATGGAAGAAGCGGGTAAAAGATAATGGATGGATGAATGGATGGAAAAAGTAAAGCAACCATTCAAACAAACTACCGGTAACTAACAAACAAAAAAGTCCAAACCTTAGATTCATTTTTATTTTATTACATCACATTCACATACAGTATGTTATGAGATGGCATAAAGGTTGTCTATCTAAGAACGCCAGCAGTTTGCGTTGAATCTTCACTTTGTTGTGATCCTTCATAACGAGGAAGCACATTGGCGATAGTGGAAAGAAATGACTCCCATTCAACAGGACTCAATATCCAGCAGGCTCAGGATGAACATCCATTGGCCTTGTATGGGCTGAGGTTTGAGAGGACAAAAAAGAAACAGGCAAACACAGATGGATGAGTCCAGGTGATGTTTCTAAGTGAAGAAAAACACATTTTAATGGGAGCAATATGTGCATGTTTATACATTTTTTTATAGACAAACATGGAGAGAGCAAGAGAGTAAAGACATCAGCAAAGTGAAGAAATGTGGTCCTCCAGCAGTTTAAGCCTTTGGCAGCAAAACGAAGGGTTAGCCCAACCCAAGTGAACCCTAAGGATTTATGAAAAGGAAAATTTTAAGCCTACTCTTGACAGGGTGTCAGTCTTAAAGACGGAAACAGAAAATTGATTCCACAACAGAATATGCTGATGATTGAAAGCTCTGACTCCTGTTCTACTTTTAGAAACTCCAGGAACAACAAGTAAACCCGCAGTCTGAGAGCAAAGTGTTTTGTTGGGAAAATATGGATCAACAAGTTCCATAATTGCTTTTGATATAGTTGATCACAATATTCTACCACAGAGGCTTGAATATGATATTGGAATTACAGAAACAACTCTAAAATGGCTTAAATCATATTTATCTGATTATTACCAATTTGTAAATGTAAATAATAAATCTTTTTCTTACAAAAAGTTAGTTATGGAGTTCCTCAGAGGTCAGTGCTTGGACCAATACTCATCACTTTATATATGCTTTCGTTAGGCAAAGTTATTAAACAGCATGGGATAAATTTTCATTGTGATGCTGATGATACACAATTATATTTGTCCATGATACCCAATGAATCCAATCAGCTATTTAGACTACAAGCATGTCTTAAAGATGTGAAAACCTGGATGACCCTAAGTTTTCTGCTTTTAAACTCAGACAAGACTGAGGTTTTGGATTTTGGACCTGAGCATCTTGGGAATACATTTTTCAGTCTTTCTCCCTCCTTGGATGGCATTAATCTGGCCTCCAGCTCTAATGTTAAAAATCTTGGTGTTGTTTTTGATCAGGACATGTCTTTTATCTCCCATATTAAAAATCTTACTAGAACTGCCTTCTTCCACCTGCGTAATATATCACTAATATTAGAAACATTGTCTAAAAATGATGCCGCAAAACTGGTTCATGCATTTGTCATGTCTAGACTGCACTATTGCAATGGTTTGTTATCTGGGTGTCCAAATACTTCTTTAAAAAGTCTTCAGTTGATCCAAAATGCTGCTGCCAGAGTCTTAACTGGAGTTGGTAGGTGAGATCATATCTCTCCAGTTTTAACTTCTCTCCATTGGCTCCCTGTCAAATCCAGAATATCAAAATCTTACTTCTAACCTACAAAGCTCTCAACAACCTAGTTCCATCTTATATTACAGATCTTATTGTTCCATATTTTACTAACAGAGCACTTCGCTCTCAGATTGCAGGCTTACTTGCGGTAGTTTCCAAAAGCAGAATGGGAGGAAGATCTTTCAGTTATCAGGCTCCTCTCTTGTGGAACCAACTTCCAGTTTTTGTCCATGAGGCTGACACATTGTCCAGTTTTAAGACTTTCCTTTTTGATAATGTTAGTCGGCTTGGTTTCCTCATGACCTATTTCTTATCTTATGCTGCTATAACCTTAGACTACTGGAGGACAAATCGACCTCATTTCATCAAATTAGCAGTTACAAATGCAAGCAAAGGAATAGTTTGCATTTGTAATTATTCTTTCTTAACATGTAATTTCTGTCTTTTTGTCTATCCTCCTGTAGTGAACCAGATAACCTCAAATCTACCAGATGGACAGAGACTGTTATTTTCATTGATCTGAATAAGTCTGAACCATCTGATGAACTTTCTTTCTTGAATTAATCAAGCAGAAAAGACAATTCTTTATAATCATTACTGTCTTACAAATGTTTTGATAATCAAATTGTGTTAGTTCACTCAATGCTTTACAGGTTGAAAAGAACTACTAATTTTTATTTTTACATAAACAGTAAGTAATGATTTTTGTTCCTCATTCAGAGAAGAAATCACCTGAATATGCCTTTCTTGATTTTCTGTCTGAAATGAGCAAGCTGTCGTAAGTATGTTAAAGGTTGGTTTTCGGTCAACTAAAATGTTTACCGAGAAAAATGTCATGTTTTACTATTTGAAAAGATTACAAAGTGTGAGACTCCACGAAGTCTGCTGTTGCTGCAATAATCTTTTCTGTATGTTGTAAACAATCCTTGACTTATGATAACATCTTACGTCACAAATCCACTCCTCTTTCTGGTCCTTCCACGAATCAGAAAGCTCTAAATTGAACAGGAAGTCGACCCAAATAAAATGTGGCAACTTCTCAGTTCATAGAAAGAAGAGAAGGAGAAGAGAATTATGGATTCCAGAATTCCAAGAGAATGAGAGTTCTGAGAGATGTTGGAATGAGAGCTGACAACAGGTCCGATAGTCCAACAGAATGAGCAGATTGAGAGTGCAGCCGGTTATGAAGAGTTTGGAGTTATGAAGAACCAGGAACGTTTGGGATTATAATTCTGTTTTGAGCTAATCAACGCACGACTTTCTGAAGGTTTGGTAGCTCTCGACGGAGACGCTGAAACGAGTCAGAAAGGAACTACATCCAGCGCTGATTCATCGTCAACAGGTAGATGGTTC